AATATCAATTATGATCAAAAACCATCCAATAGTGGATGTGTCCCTAAGAATGATGCAGTTGTATATCAAGACAAGTCAGCAACTATTTTATATGAACAATCTTACAGCCCAAAAGAATACACTCTGTCACACTATTTAGGTGACTTTTCTAAGCTTGCACATAATAGCGTTGATTATTTAAATTATCACTTTACACAATATGGTAATTGTACTACTACCACTGCAAAAAACTTTTAAATCCATGAGTATTCACAGATAGTAAGTATTTTTTTGTGCATGTGATGTCTGATTTTTTTACATATATACAGGGCTAAGTTTTATCAATATTTTTAGAATATAATGTTTCGGTGTATGTTACAGATATTATTTGTATTAAAACATATAGAATATATGAAGTATTAAGTTTTAGAATACCAATATCTTATTCTGAAAGATGGAATTTGTTTCATATTGCAAAATTCGGTGCTCTTTTGGAGGTATTACATTATTATTTTTTAGCATAAAATATCTCATTTACAATTCATTTATCAACTTTTCCATTATATATAGATGTAAAGGGGAAAATGTCAAGAGAACATTTTTTAAATAACGATAATACCCATTGTGTGGACAGATGGATAAAGATACCCCAAAACACAAGAAAAACCAAAATTTGTGAATGCATAGCTTTGAAATTTTTCTTAATAAAGATTGCTTATTCTTAAAATATATCACTACTTTTTTTTCAATATAAATAGTAAACATCATCAATCACAAATATAGTTTATTTCATTTTTAAGAAATACTGTGCTTATCAGAAATTTTTTGATATTGTGGGAATTATATGGTGAACGGAGTGTTCCACAAGTGTCCAAATAAGTTAATTCCTATTGCAGTTGGTCCCTCTCGGGGAATCCTATAACTCCAATGAAATATGTTTAAACTTTAAAATCTAAAGGCTTGATAACCAAGCAGGCTGTGAAAATAATCTTTCTGTGATTCTATTTCCAAATGCTCAATCAATAGTCATCAGAGTTTTTTTCATTTATATCAGTAAAAAAATTTTTGTAAAGATTCAAAATTGATTATTATAAAATTTTGGAAATGTTACAAATTTTCAAAATAACAGTTAAAAATCCGCATATATGATTGATGTTTATTATTTTTAATGACCAACGCCAATGAAAAAGAAATAATTAATCATAGGATTTCATTTCTCTTCTAAGGATTTCTGCTTTTTGTTGGGTAATAACACACCTTCATTCTGTTTTCTTTCTTAATGTTTATTCTTCTTTTTCCTTCTTGGTAAATTCATGAGTAATCCTTTCTTTTCTTAGATAAGCTTCAAGTTTCTGAGTATCATTTATTTTGAAAATATAAGGAGCAATTTTTTCACCTTGTTCCTTTCTCAGAATATTCAGAATACTTCTAATGGTGCTATAAGAACATGATAGATCTGATATAAATTAATTTCATATTAACTATTTTTGTCTAGACAAATATCACGATCACATTATATTGGTAATACAGTTGTGATGTTAGACAAACATATTGATCCCATGAAATCATTGGTAATACCAATGTTCACTTTGTTTGGTTTTGTTGCAGCATGCCCCACATGAGAAGCATTGACAAGTTTCTGTTAATTTTTGAATGGCATGTGTCTTTCTGTTTATAGAAACAAATAATGGAGATCTGGAAGGATATTGAAGATGATAATATAAGAAACTTCCTCAGAATCGATTTAAATTTAGATGACAAGTTCACTTTGAAAATTTTAATAATAATAATAATAATAAAGGCATTTTGGTTAGTGGATTTGAATACACTGAGAAATCCATACAGAGTTTAAGGGATGGATCAATATCTGAAACCACTTGGAAAAACAAGATATACTGTTGTATAAAAAATTGTCTACTTGAATAAGTTTTCTTGTTAATGCACAGTGAATTTGTGATCATGGATCATTATGCAAAAGATGGAATAAAATAAAATAATTTTGAAAGCCACTACTGATTTTGATCCCTTTAATTTTGTGTGACATAATGTTCACTTTGCCTTAGTATTACTATTAGTACAGTATGACCCATATAGAAATGTATTGGAGTGCTGCCAAAAGGTATGTAAGGCAACATTGTAACTATATCTGGAAAGGTTTACAAGAAAATATACCCAGCTAGGGCCTTTGATTTCTGTAACATTGAAACAAATAGGAATTATGCATTAAAAGATCAATAAAGTATATAAGGGCGCTGACATATATCATCAGGAAAATGGGTACAAATATTATGCATATATAATACACAATTGCAGGGATTAAGCATATAATATATGTACAA